ATCTCGATAAACCAACTCCTAATAGTTGCATAATGAAAGTGGATGGAAATGGTAATTAGCATTTTCCTTTGCAGACTTAAAATATGATAAAAATCGGTGGTATATTTTAATGGACACCTGACTGGTGCCATTCCATGATAAATGGGGAACGCTATCTGCCACTGAATATTATAGCCGAATATGATTGAAAGCTCCAAAACAGATGGACCTAGAACCAAGATTGTTGTGTCAAGTTCAAATGCAGTTTCTGGTGTTTGCTGTTGCAGAAAAAGAAGTGATTGAATTGACTGCAACTCTCCCTTCAATTCAACAGTTTGAATGAAGGTTATACATTGTACTTTGTATGATTATTCTGTCTTTCCAAGTTGATTGAACAGAAGAGGAATGAGGCCTAGTTAAAACCTCCATCCTCCTGTTATTGGAGCTGTATTTTCAATACAGCTGTATGTACATATGTACAGTTCCTACAGGTTGAACCCAGCTTGCATCGCAGCTTAAAGAACAAGATGTGAAGTAATTATCTGGGAGAGATCATAGGCCTACAGTGTGATGTTGAACACATGAGCCCCATGGAGTAGGTCAGAGTCTGGAAAGGTTGAAGCTGTTGTCCAAGCGCAGCAGGAGAGACTCATGGTGCTTCTCTTTGGGGGTTTTGTGATACCAGGAATGTTTAAGATCCATAGAGAGCTTATCCTCCAGTCTAGTATGATCTCATATTTACCGTAGATTGTCAGCTGACTGTTGCCCCTTTTCTATATTTTTAAGTGACAGAGAGCTTTGAATAAAATACTCACAGCATAACAGTTCAGTCTTTAGGACCCAATTGAAAGTACATTTAAGCAAAATGTTGCAGTGAAATAAACACATTTCAATAGAATCTGTTGATTCACTAGCAGGTCTAACGAAGTCCAGCATATTCATTCAGTTCACCAATAGCAAGCAGCGTTGACCTTTGAGTACTAAATGGAGGAAGCTGTTGTAGGTTAACAACGTGCACTTTTATTTAGCCTTTTCTGTATGAGTATAAGCTGCTCCATGAGGCAGAAGTTGATAATACAAATGTTAGAACTTATTGTCCCGTTACTATCTGACAGTTGGCAAGCAGTTAGCTTGTTAACTCGTTATCTGGGAGAGCTTTTTTCCCCTCTTCGATAAAACTCTTATGAATATAATAATTTAAATGGGGGCCATCGGTACAGTACAGAGAAAATAGAAAGAAGCTTGGAGAACTGGGACTGATTGGCTCTAGCATGTTCCAGATGAGCTAGCGTGTTTGCGGTTAGCTTGTTAAACTACAGTTCAACTAGCCCAGCGAGTAGCCTATCCCGACATTAACAAGCCTCTCTTAAGGATACACAGACAGACTTTAAGATATGTGTAATCAAATATAACCAAAGAAAACATAATAAATTACTAAAACAAAGTCTAAAATTGTAATATGTGTGTGTGTGTGAGTGAGTGTGACTCAGAGGTTTGCACTCTGTAAAGTGTTATATCACCATGACTCAGTCCGTGGCTGACCTCAGCACACCTGACACAGGCTGCTGCGTGGCTTGAGGCCAACAGCTTGTCCTGAAATTACATGTCCACAAGCACACGCTGACAAACAAGCAGACAAATGCAACAACACAAACACACACACACACAGACACACACAACAGGTGAGGGTGGGCACATAAATAGACACACAAAAGGAGACAGAAAGCAGAAGTTCAGTTGGGCATGTATCTAATCACACTCCTTTTCTTGAGAGGAAAGCACAACCGTTTAATGAAAAAGAGATCTTAGTGAATTATTTTTTTTAAATAGATAAACTTGTTGAGATGAATTTGATGGTCACAAGAAGGACCATTAGTGCCCCTGTAGCACACACTCTTTTCCTCTTCCAATAATTACTAGAATTGGGAATTAAGGAGTAGGTTGTGTCTCTTATGCTTATGCTGCTGAAGCCATGTGCACACTGAGTGATACAAAGGTAATTTGACATTATTAAGGCTCTTGTAGAGGCCATAGTGGTTGGAGTTTGCCTTAACCTTTTGTCAATTCTCACTTTTTGGCACTAAATGGTTTTCAAGTGGTAGCAGTCTGGGTTTCTTTAAGGATATTATAGAATTTGATGGTTGATTTCTGAATATTAATGAGAACAAGTGTGATTAATCACCTTATGGTTAGCTGGAAATAATGTGTGTACACTGGATGTTTGTCGCCGTTTAAAAAACAACTTTGTTTTAATTGCAATCCAAGTCGGTAGAAAACCCCAAAAAAAAAAGGACTTCTTTCTTTGTGGTGTTTAGACCTTGTTAGTTCCTTTTCATCAATGCATTTGTTCACAAGGCTGTTGAATAAGTCGGGTCTATTGTTCCTTTTCCTGTTACTTGTCATGACCCGCATCTCACCCTGTGATTGTGGATGTGCAATATGTCCGTTTACTGCACCTTGTCTGGTGCAGTATAATTTAAAGAATATTTTGTTATATTATTATATTTAATATGTTCTGCTATGTATCTATCTATCTAATATGAAATAGAAATTGCACCAAAACAGTCGGGCTCTCGCAGATCTTTGTTGAGTTACGGCACATCACTGTCAGAAGGTGACTTACTGTATGTGACTCATATTGGTCCATTTGCTACTCTGACCTGTTGGCCAACCCTTCTTGGATACAAAAAACAATACATTTCCATTTTCATTGTTTTAAAATGTCACCTTGGAACAGGCACAAATAGAGCTATACATTTTATTTCTATGGTTTGACTGCCCTACTGGCATGGGCCAACATTAAACCCCCCCTCTCAGACAAATCATCAAGGCAGTTGTCGTCAGATGTGCTGTTTGGTGTCTTCAATAAAATCCCATCAATGGAGAAACCTGGTGTGACACCATAGCCATGGAGAAGGTATCAACAAGATAGAGACATGGCAAATATGGCCAATTGTCGAATCTATCAAAATATAATTCTACTATGTGAACATCAGTCACATTTGGTGCAGCATAGGCTTCATACATTTGCTCTTCCGTGTATCATTTATCAATCAAAATATCTATTTAAAGCTATTTCTTTGAAAAATTACGCAAAATAACATTTTTCTAAAATAAGTGTTTATAGTATTACCAGCTGGAGACCATTGAAGTGATTTCGATGACGTAACACTGCATACGCTTTCATAAGCCCTTTTCAGGAAAAAGATTGATCTCAAATTCCTGAACATAGTTTTAAGATAACCCACATTGTAATTGTTTAATACAGTGAGTGTCCCTTACTTAAATTATAAATTATTATTTATCATTTCTCTGCAATTTTGTTTTTGTTTGTTTTGGACTGAAACTCTTATGTTAGTAATTTTTGTAAAACATTTAAGCCAACTGATAATAATGAAAGTATTTATACTTTAATAAGTGACTTCACGAACTTTGCTAACCACAGCTCTCTGGAGAGGGAATCACCCAGCTGATTAAGAAGACGACCTGAGGGTCCTGCATGGACAGCAGATGCGCGCGCACGCACGCACGCAAACACACACACACACACACACACACACACACACACACACACACACACACACCCAGCCTCCGAGCTAGTCTGTCCTCACCGACTAAATGTGTCAAATAGAAAGCCTTCGTGCTGATGCTTCCAATGAGCCACCAGTATAGCACTATTTCCACTCAACCTATACACACACTCCTCCCTGTCCTGTCTGACTCTCTCTTTCTGTCTCACCAACACATCCATGGTCTCGTCCCTTTACCTCTCTCTCTCTCCCGACAGTGATGGTGTCAGCTGACAGCTCAGAACATGACGACATGGCCAGATGCCGTCCAGCATGCAGAAAGAGGGAAATCCCTATGAAATAAATATAAATATTACACACACACACACACACACACACACACACTTCACTCAGTGAGATGGCCAGGGAACAACCCGCCCTGCTGATACGACATTTAACCCTCATCGCTGCCGGGTCCTCTGTGGAGAGTGAAAGATACAGAGAAGGAAGAGGCAAAATGAGAGAAAGAAAGACAAGTCCGTATGCATGCAAGTGTGTGTGTATATGTGAATATAAGTGAAGCAGGCAGAGCTTGGTGCCCTCGCTTTCTTTTTATAAACAAGCAGGATGGAGAATCCATGTACCCTGTCAGCTTGGGACAGTCCGCGCAACACACACACACACACACACACACACACACACACACACACACACACA